GCTCCGAAGCCGTTGCTCAGCAGGCGGCGGAGAGTCTTTGTAGTAGCAAAGGCCAGCGAGCGAGGCCAGCCCGTCCCTGGAGCAGAGAGGTCCAACCCTCTCCAGCAATGCACTAGATCTGCAGACTTGCCGCCAGTCTGTGCACCTCGTTCCTAATGTGATGGTGGGCTCAGGGGACAAGGGACAGGGCAAGTGTGGGAGGACCTGCTTTCTGTGTGCCCTCCCCTGACGGCACAGGGTCACTCTTCTTCTCACAGGAATGTTGCCATGATGGGCCATTAGTTGATGCACAAGTGTTTGCTGAGCGCTTACTGTATACCAGGTGATGAGCTGGGCTCGGGGACCCAAAGGGCAGAAGATGTGGTCTAAGGAAGCGAACGAGGTCTATAACCGACAAACTGGGGGTTGCTGCTGTCCCCAGGATGTCCAGGAGACTGCTGTCCCTGGGATGATCAGGATGTCCAAGGAGGAGACTGCATAAGAAGATACTAGAGGGGCTGGGGATGTGGCTCAAGCGGTAGCACGTCCGCCTGGCATGCGTGCGGCCCAGGTTCCATCCTCAGCACCACATACAAACAAAGATGTTGTGTCTGCCGAAAAAAACTAAAATAAATAAAGAGAGAGTTTTTAAAAAAAAAAAAAAGAAGAAGAAGATACTAGAAATAAGGTGGGGAGACAAAGGCACCTAGTTTTTTCCTCCTTTCCCTGGGTTTAGACCTTGAGCCCTGGGTCCCACACCTCTCACCAGCCAGGTCACCTGTCCCCACCCTTGAATCGGGCCTTGGCCTGAGCTTTGTTTTGGCAGTGAGTGGTCAGGAGGTGGACCCAGGCCGAGGTTGAAGACATGCCTCAGGATTCCAGCTTCTCCTCTGGGCTCTGCCTTCACCACAGCACCTGCCGGGGAGGAGCAAAGGGCACAGAGGTCGGGCCAGGTTGTCTCGGCCCTCCCATGTGAGGCCAGCCAGGGCCAGCATCAGCCCATAGCCCAGCAGCAGAGGGGCCCAGCCAAGATCCGCAGAGCACCTCCCTAGCCCTCAGCTGCTGACCACGCACCCGTGTGGCCCAGTCAAGGTCAACCAAGGTCTTCCCAGGTTGGTAGAACCACGGGACCTACCCACTGCTCCTCGGAAACCACAGACAGGTGCTGTTTGAAGCCACTGGGTTTGAGGACGGTTTGTCACCCAGCAGCAGGTCAGTGACACGAAAGAGGAACATTCCGGGCACAGGAACAGCGTTCACAAAGGCTCATGGACAGGAGAGAGCTTAGTGAGTTGAGAGAAGCAGAGAAGGCCCACGTGGCTGGAAGGACCAGGCCCAGGGGGGACAGACAATGACACTCCAAAAAGGAAATGTGAACCAGACCCTGCAGGGCCTGGGGGAGGAGCCTGGATATTCTTCTAAGCGCAGTGGAAGCCAGGGGTAAGCTTTGCCAACGCGGCGGAGGAGGGGCGGGAGCCGTGTGGGCAGCTGATGCAACTTAAAAGGTCCCCCCCGACTGACCGAGGGAAGGACTGACAGGACCAGGGGTGTAAATGGAGAGATGGGTCCCCCTTTCCAAGCAGGTCTCGAGCACCGGTCACAGCAACCCTATCAAGTGGACAGACGGGGAAACTGAGGCTGAGGACAGTAAAGTGCCCGGAGTCACACAGCGAGGTGGGACTGGAATCCCTGCTCCTAAATGCTCTCTCCTGTTCCCCGTGGGCTTTACCCAGGAACAAGGGGAAGAAGTCCCTCGCCCTGACCCCCACACCCGCCCGCCATGCCTCGGACCCTGCCCGCCGTCTCTCCATCCATCCTCCCCTGCCTGTTCCAGCAGGTAGCGGAAGTGCTGCTTGCCCACCTCTGCCCATTTCCAGGGCTCGGGGCCCACTTTGGTCCAGCTGTGGTCCTGCCTGGGGCAGCCTCCTCACCAACTGTGGCCTCTCTTCCTCTCAGAGCTGGGGGTCTCCTGTCATGCCACTTCCTCTCTCTGCTCAGAAATGTTCCGTGGCTCCCTACTGCCTTCAGAATGAAACCCAGACTCCACGCTCTACAGTCTGGCAGGCAGGACCTTCACGGCTGGGCCCAGGCCGCCTCTCCAGCTGGAAGCCCGAGCTTGGCAATGGGACTCTGAGATTCAGATGCAGCTCTGCCCTAACTGTGCGCTGAGGGCCTATTTCCTCACCTTAGCAACTCCTTATTACTAACATGAGTCCACTAACAGGACCTGCCTGAGATGATGGGGTAAGGAGTGGCCCAACTGCCTGTCCAGGACCTGATTTGAAACCAGGTTCAGCAAATGGCCACCGGCTACTGCTATTCTTCCCCCAGGGGTGAGTTCCTATGAATTGGGGGCTGTCCTTCCCACTCCCACTATTAACCACGAGTTTCACTTCCATGCCCAAGGTCACCATTGCCCTTCTCTCCCTAAGGAAGTCACTGACCTCTGGGGCACCTTGACTTTTCTCTCCATGTCCACGTGAGCACCCTCCGGAAGCTGTCAGGAACTTGGGTTCCACACAGGACAGGAAATTCAGATTTTCCTGGTTCATGAGTCATGGAGTTTGTGAATATTTTTTTTCTGTGCACAAATATGGTAGCTGACCCATATCTAGTAAGGAAGTGACCTGTTCGCTTGCTGGATCGCAAAGCCAGAACTGCCCCCAAACCCTCCAGATGTTCCCTTCCTCTGCAAGGTAATATTATTCCATGGGCCGCAGGGTCCTTTTCTGCCCCAAGACCTGGCTTGGATGGAACCACTTTACTACTCTTTCCACTCTGCAATGGAAGCAGATCCCAAAATCCCAGAGTTGGTTGAGGAATCCTTTGAATGGACCTCTTCCTCAGGCAGAGAATCATGGCACATTCCAGGGCTTTTTATTTTTTTATTTTTTTGGTGTTGGTGCTCGGGATTGAACCCAGGACCTCACACATGCTAGGCCTGTGCTCCACCACTGAGCTACACCCCAACCCCTTCATGGCTTGATGCACTCAGTGGCTTCTGCTCAGTACTTACTTTGCAGAGGTCTGAGGGAGGGGCTTCTGCACCAAAAACCAAGCACTGAAGCCCTCTGTCCCTGCCTTCTGATGAATAGCCTGATTAAACAGCCCACCAAAGGGTCCTCAGTTAACTAAGGTCTGCTCCGTGATGATTTTGTGACCCTACTCTTAACAGCATCTGTCACTTCTCTTGGTTAAAGAAGAAAAAAAAAAAAAAGAAAAACCCAGCAACTAATTAATCTCTGCCTCTCAAATACCTCATTACACCCGAATCCTCCAGTTTTTCTTATAAGATGCATGTTGCTTCTTGTGTAATAAGAACAATTCATTAAAAATGATTTTTAAAAATCAGAAAGGATGTATAGACTTGGGCAATGCTATCTACTGACTGGATTCAATTGACATTTCAAGGACACTCCTCCCAACAATGGCAGAATCCACATTTTCCAAGTACACATGGGGCATTCACTAAGATGGACCATATGCTGAAGCATAAAAAGTTCTCAACAAATTTAAAAAGATTGCAATCATGCAGAGTCTGATCTCTGACCACAGCAGAATTAAATTTGAAACCACTCACAGAAAGATGTTTTGAGAAATCTTTAAATATGTGGAAATGATACAAAAATAATTCACAGTGCATTAAAAAAAAAAAAAGAAAAAAGAAAGACCGGAAGGAAAGTAAAGAGGGAGGGAGGAACTCTAGAACAATATGCCTCACCCTGAAAGGGAAAGAGCCTTTATTTTTCAGAAAAGTGAATCTATGAGTCTAGAAATGTATAAAATGACCATATCCACTTATCCCAGGAATGCAAAATTGGTATAACATTTGAAAATCAATTAACATTATTCACAATATTGGCAGAATAAAGGGGGAAAAACCACATGAGCGTTTCAACCAATTCAGAAAAAAAAATTGACAAAATTCAGCACTTGTGCATGATTAAAAACTCTCAGCAGGGCTGGGGCTGGGCTCAGCGGTAGAATGCTCGCCTAGCATGTGTGAGGCCCTGGGTTCGAACCTCAGCCCCTCGTATAAATAAATAAAATAAAGGTATTGTGTCCAACTACAACTAAAAAATAAATACTTAAAAAGAAACTCTTAGCAAACAAACAAAAAAAAAAATGGAAATTCTTCAATTCAGTAAAGGAGATCCAGGGGGAACTTAGGGCTAAATCCTCCTTCCTGGAGAAGACTGAATCTGGGAACAAATGAAGTGCCCACTCTCGCTGCTTTGATTCCGCACTGTACAAGAGACTAACCAGTGTGATAAGGCAAGAAAAGGAAATAAATGCATATATATTGGAAGATAAGAAGTAAAATGATCTTATTTGAAAAAAAAAAGACCCTCCAAAACTAATAAGTATAGATATGAAAAACCCTAAGGATTCTAATAAAAAGCTATTAGAACTAATATGTAGGTTTACTAATATGTAAGTTTAGCAGGATATGAGATCAATATTCCAAGGCCCTGAGCAACTCAGCAAGACCCTCCCCCTAAATAAAATATAAAAAGAGGCTGAGGATGTGTGTGGCTCAGTGGTTAAGCACCCCTGGGGTTAGTCCCTGGTAACAAATAAGCAAACAGATAATGAGATGCCAGCGTCCACACACCAGAAGGGCTAAAATTACGTTGGCTGAGAGTTCCAGATGTGGGCAAGGAGGCGGAGCAAACAGAACTCTCATAGCAACTGCGGAGATAGAAAATGACACTTTGAAAATAGCTTATGAAGTTAGGCATATCATCACCACATAACCACTCCTACACAAGTCCCCGTAAAGACCTGTAGGTGAAGGTTGACAGTAGCTTTGATCATGCTACCCCCAAACTGGAAATAATCCAATGTCCATCAACCGGTGACTGTGTAAACAAAGTGTGGTACATCCATACAATGCGTTACCACTCCACAATCAAAACCAACACACTAATGAAACACACATGGGTGAATCTCAAAACATTTTACTGAGTAAAGAAGCCAGATGCAAAACATTACCCGCAACGTGATGCCATTGAGATGAAACTGTAGAAGAGGCACGGCAAGTCTGTCGGGACAGAAAGCAGATCAGGGTTGACTGCGGCAGGGCAAAGGCATTGAGAGGGTGCCGTGTCAGCTCTCTGTCACAGTAACAAACACCTGAGACAACCAACTTACAAAGAGCAAAGGTTTCTCTTGGCTCAGAGTTTTGGAGGTTCCAACCCATGACAGATTGACCCTGTTGCTTTGGGCCGGTAGCGAGGCAGCACACCATGGCAGGAGCCCATGGTGGTGCATCACATGACCAGGAAGCAAAAGAAGAAAAAGAGGAGGAGACTGGGGTCCCTTCAAGGGCACTTCTCTTTAGAAAATATTTTGGCGTTATTTATTTAAAACAATGGAATGCATATTCTCTGATCCAAAAATTCTACCCTAAATATATGTCCTAAAATCTGAGTGCACACATACCCCAAGAAACAAAAGAGTTCAGAGCAGCATGGCTGGGTGTCCCCAGCAGGAGAATGGATAAATAAATGCTGTCGTGCGACAGAGTAACATATGGCACAGGAAATGAGTGAACCACAATTCTACGCTCCAACTCGGTGAGAATCACAAACGACATCGGGCAAAGGAGCCAGACACACAAATTACACACGATACGATCCTGTGCACCAAAAGTTCAAAAAATGGACAAAAGTAACCAGGTGCGGTGGCTCATGTCTATAATCCCAGAGGCTCTGGAGGCTGAGGCAGGAGGATCACAAGTTCAAAGCCAGCCTCAACAACCTAGTGAGGACCTGAGCAACTCCACGAGACCCTGTCTCTAAATGAAATACAAAACAGGGCTGGGGATGTGGCTCAGTGGTTAAGCACCCCTGGGTTCAATCCCCAGTACAAAATGAATGAATAAATAAATAAAATAAAAAGTAAACTCTGGGTTTAGGACTGTCCATGTCAATAGCAAAACTATAAAGTAAATCAGGAAAATGATCAAAAATCAAGATCATGGCTAGGTTTTGCAGGGGGAGAAGGGCATGCTGGGGACTCCTGTAGCTGGTAATAGTCTACATGGGATCTGGGTAAGCAAGTGTTTGCTTTAAATTTGCTTGTTAAAAAAGACATATTTTATGCACTTTCCTCTCAATATAAAACATTCCAGAATAAAAATAGTGTGAACAGAGTAAAACAAGAAAGAATGTGTGGTGAGATGCGCAGCCCAGGGAGGAAGGTACTCAGGCCTGGGAAACCAGGGCAGAGCGCTGGGCTGGGGGCTCCTCAGCAGGTGCACTCCGAGGTCCCCCACAGCCAAATAGAGGACAATAGAAACCACACATTCCGCCCCTCGGGATTTACATTCCAGGAAGGGAAACAGGAATCAAATCTGCAGGCTGTAAACATCTCCATCACAGACCACAATAATGCCTGAGGGTAACTCCTGTGGCCCTCTGTGCTCCTGGGAGGTGCCCTGAGCCCAGACCTAAAGGATGAGCATTGGCTGCTCAGGAATGGTGGGTGGGAGGGGGCAGAGGGTGTAGCACCCAGTGAAGGTCCTCAAGAGGGAAGGAGCATGACTGTCCCCCCACCCCGCCATCTCCATCTGCTCAGAGACCCGTGATGGAGTCATCTGAGACAAGTAGCAGGGAGGGGTGGGAAAGGGTATTTGAACTGGGTTTTGGAGGGTGGATAGGAGTTCACCAGCAGAAATGATAAAGTCTTGCTCTTGTTTGCCCAGTACATAGCTGTGCCTGGCAAATGCATGTGATTTCTCCTGGAAAGTGAAAAGCCAGAGAATTGAATATAGAGGTTATAAAGTGGAGGCCACTGGCCTTGACCTCAGAGAATTAAGATGCAAAAAATGCGGGAGCTGTGGGAGGGTCCACCTGGTGTCCTGGACTCTGTCAGTCAGAAGCTTTAGTGGCCCAGTGAGGTCACCATGGCGGGGGAGGGCAGCTGCAGGGGGCAGAGATAAGACATCTGCTGTGGGAGGGGCTGCGGGGCTGCCCCGCCCCCGCCACGAACCTGGCTTGCAGCGTCCCCTGACCAAACCCTAGGGTCCCGTGAGGGTGACAGCAGTGGGGCCTGGGACGCTGGAGCCAGATGCAATCAGAGTGGGCAGCCGCAACTGCGGTGGCTTCGGAATCTGGTTGTTAGTGGGCGGCACAGGGAGCCGCGCTGTCTCCCCTGTGTTTATCTGGCTCCACTGAAGGGGCTGGAAACTTGATCCCCGTGGGGACAGGGCCTGGCCTGCCCCGGCCTGGAGTCTGGCAGAGCCCTGGCCTCTCGGGGCTGCTGTCCTGTTATCAGGGGGAAACTGAGGCCGGGAAGCCACCCAGATTAGACAAGAGGGACTTGTCTCATCCCACACTGGAGAATCGCAACTCCCCTGGACTCGAGGGCCTCGGATGCTCCAAGTTCTTGGCCAAAATGCTTCCCAGATAGCATCCCCACGAGGACACTACTGTTATTCTTGGGGAAACGGAGGGCAAATCATTTGCTGAAAGTCACACCGAGCTGGGACTGGATTGGGGTTCAGATCTGCCTGATTCCAAAGCCAGCATCCCTAACCACTTCACCACCCTGCCCACGAAAGCAAAGTTCACTGGGTGCCTTGAAAACCTTCAGCCACCGTGAACTTCCCTCCTGTGGCTGGTCCTGGGTTTGGGGACGTCTGTCCTCCTCTGGCCTGGCCCCCTTCTCACAGAGAGCCTTGAACCTGGAGTACCTCTGAGTCCCCTCTCCTCCTGCCCCTGCATTCCTGCCTGACTGCCCCACGGCCTGCAGGAACCGGGCCTGTGAGCATGGAACTCCCAGCTGCAGGAATTCCTCTCCAAACTGGCCTTAGAGAGGAGGGGGGCTGGCCTCTTGTTCTGGCACCCTGTAGCCCAGCTCCTGGCACAGAGAAAGGATGAGCAAATCTTCCATCTTGGGCACCTCTCATGGGCATCTGTGCCACAACAGAAAAAAGAAAAAAACCAAAACCACTGCTAATAGCTGTGTGACCCTGGGAAAGCAATGCAACCTCTCTGAGCCCACAGGCCCCCTCCACAAAATAGGAGAATGCATCCATTCATCCCATGATGCCATGCGTGCAAAGGGCTCAGCGCTCCATCAACACTCCATCCTGGATTTGAACTTGATGATTTTCTAAGTTTTTTATTATTTATCTATTTGTTTATTTTTGTCTTTTGACTTCAGTTTTCAGATTCTCTCTTCCACAATGTGCTTCCAGTTTCTGGGGAACAGAAACCTGTGCCCACTGCCCAGATGCCCATCGCAGCCCAGGAATGTGGAACTGCAGGGCTGACCCTAAGTCTCCCCTTCCCCTGGCCTCCCCCTTTCTGTTCAGGGTGTGGGGACTCCTGCAAGCCTCACCCTGTTCACACCTCGGGACAAACCGCCCTCAGAGCCTGGGGGTCCCGCCATTGCTTCCTCTTTGAACCAAGTGTCCACCCTGCACCCCTCTTGTTCCAGGTCCAGCTGCTTTGTGTTCTGGGAGCTCACGGCAGCCCAGGAACCCCCGGGAACCTTCCGGAAACGTCGGCCGGCTTGCTTTCCTTTGCTTTGATGTGACAGCCCCTCTCCCGCCAGGCCTTCTAGGGGAATGCTCTGAACCACCCCGCGGGGAATTCCAAGGAACCAGACCCAGACATGCAGGACCCTCCCCACGGCCGGCCGCAGAGCAGGAAGGTGGCCCCAGGCCCCTTCCTGGTGAGATGGAGGGAGAGAAGCTCACCAGCCAACCCGGGCACCGCCAATTGACTCCTGGCTGCCACCTGCCCTTCCCGGCCCTGGGGCCCACCCGTGGGGCTCTGCTGCCTCCCTCCTGAGGCAGGGTCCCCTCTCGCCCGCCCTGAGGGATAGAAGGGCCAGGCTTTCCTGCATAAAGAGTGCCAGGGCCTGGTGGTCAGCAAGCGTCCAGGCTTCCTCAGTCACCATGGCCCGAGTCAGGATCTTGACCTTGAGGGTAGACTGCTCCCGGTGGGGTGGCCTCGGCAGCAGGGCCTGGTGAAGAAGCAAAGTGGTGTCCTAGAGTAAGGGTGGGGCGGAGCCCACAAGTCTGCTAGACTTCTGAACACCTCCTGGCCCTCAAGCCCCAGGACCAGGCCTGGAAGGAGACCAGGAGTCCCAACAGCCTTCCTGGAGCCCCGTCGTCAAGAGGAATCCTAGGGCGAGGCAGCCTCGTGCTCCTGCCCAGAACAGACGTCCTCTTCCCGGTTCCCCAGGGACACACACTCATTACCTGTCAGGGCATCTCCCCTAGTCAATGGCTCTGGAAGTGACCTGGAGCCACAGAAAGAGAGGAGCTATGGGGTCAGAGGGACCTGGGGTCAAACCCTGGCTCCAGCGCTTGGGAGCTGTGTGCCCTCAAGCAAGACACTGCACCTCTCTGAGCCTCTGTTCCTCCATCTGTGCAATGGGGCAGGTGTGAGGATTTGATGAGAGAAAGGGCATAAAACCCAGATGTCTCCCTGCCCCTGGGGCTCGCAGAGAATCTCCCTTGTCAGGATCTCTGATAGCAACAGGGAAACGGGTAGGAGTTGTGTCCAGTGCCTTAAATGAGTGACGTTATTCACCCCGTGCAGCTCTCCAGGGCCACCCAAGCAGAGAGGGCAGTAGGGCTGGCCCCCGGCCCCTGACCCGGGAGCCTGCTGGTCTGACCTCCAGCACCGCCCGTCACTCTCCACTATTCGAGGGCTGCCCTTCCCCTGGCCTCGGTCCTGCTCTGCCTCCCCAGGTGACATCAGCCACGGGTCACTCGTGGTTCCTCGGCGGTCGACTGAGCTGAACCTTCGGGTCCTTCCCGGTTTCCAGGAAACCCGCTCTCCCAGGACATCTGCGGGGGACCTGGACTTCAGCAAGGGCCCCGGCGGAGGCCGAGGCCGCAGAACGCCTTCGCATGAGCGCTGGGCACCCGGTTCTCCAAGCATCCCTTGTCCCCGCCCACCCTCCAGGGACCTTCTGTGCTCGCTGGGCCTCAGAGGCCCCGGCGTCCAGGGCTGCAGCCTCCTCACCCCGTCCGCCCTGCCCCCACCCCAGGCCCCTCCCAGGGGAGTTCTGCCCCCTCCCACTTGCCACCCCATCTCAGAGTCCCCAAGGAGGAGCTGGAACTGGTCCCACCCCCTCCCAGGGCAGCGGGACTTTGAGGAGCTTCTTGGAGAGAGCCCTTGTCCCCAAGCCTGGTATTCAGTGGCCTCAAGTGACGGTGGCCACATCAGCATAAGAAAAGTTTCTTCAGATTAAGGAGCAATGAGCTTTTCCTTTTCCCCAACAACAATCCTGAAATGTCAAAAGCCACTGACCTCAGAAATAAGCTTGCCCAGAATTTCTCAGGGAGGGACCCTTGGCATTGCAGGTCACTTAAAATCCCTGACTTCCCCGTGCTAAATGCCAACAGCACCCCAACTTCATAATTGTAAGACCTAACGTGGCCCCCACATTTCTAAAGCCTCCATCTCTCACACACACTCATTCAGACCATGAACACACACATACACAGACGATCACACACTGGGTGGGGAACTAAGACCAGAGAGGCAAAGGACTGTGGCTGAGATCACACAGCAAGTAAGGCCAGAACACAGGCCTGGGTGTTGAGGAGAACTTTGTTCCCAGTGTGGAGACTGAAGCTGTCCTGCCATGAGGCTCGGAGCTGGGGACCAAGGCCCTGTCTTGCACTCTACTCCAGATTTCAGCAAACCCAGTTCCCTAGATCCCCTGGCAAGGACCAGCCGGCAGCCAGGCAGATTCCAGCAGAGGAAACCTCAACCTCTCACATTTTGAGGAATCGGCGGATTTTTGCCTGGTTCCCAGTAACCAGAGACATCGACGTCAAGTGAGGTTAACGCAGAGCCCTGCCCAGGAAAGGCTGAGCCGGCCAGACCTTGTCCTGGCAGCTACTGGAATCCCCCCCAGAACCAGAGACCTCTCCAGCCTGGCTGTGGGGATTTCTGCTGTCAACTGCCCAGAGAAGTGGGGTCCAGGGGCACGAGGGAGGATGTGTAGACTCCAAAAGCCAAATGCACCAGCAAGATGCCTGGACCCAACGGGAGGGCCCAGCAGGCCAGACCCACAGCTCCAGTTCCACCCCAGGACAGAGCAGCAGGGAATGGGGAGGAGGTGGGCTGGTTCAGCGGGGGTGCAGGCCTGGACTCCACCTCCTACATGTGCAGGGCACCTCCACCCCTCCGTGGAGGGACCTTAAGGTCACCCTGCGAGGAAAGCGCAGCATCCCACCTCACAGGAAACAGGCAGACCTGCCACTTACCAGCTCTTGACTGAAGACATGCAGTCTAACCAGCTGGACTTCAGTTTCTCCGGCTGGATCATTAGGAGGTAGCACCCGCCTCGAGGATCTTTTCTGAGGTTAAACGAGGCAAACCTTGGTTTCAGTCGCCCAATGTCTGGCAATGTCAGAGGGTACAGAAATTGAGCAATGGGGACAAGCACATGGAGAGCACAGACTGATTATGTCAAAAACCACACACACACACACACACACACACACACACGCACGCACACAGCTGGACTTTTGGGGTGACTCTGGCAAGGATGGCCTTTTTTTCTCAGTGATCGTAGTGACAGTCCCCTTAAATGGCAAACAGGCTGGGAGCATGAGAATGTCCCGGCCCATGCAGAATTTTCTGGTTCAGAAATAGGGACAGGAATCCTCTGCCCCTCCCCAGGCCCCACAGTGGGAGCTGAAGTTTCCAGCCAGCAGGGTTCTATCAGGAGGGGAAGGAGGAGCTAAGGAAAGGCCCTGGAAAGTTCTCCCCCTGGTTCACTCTGTCTGCAACTGACTCTCTCAGGCAGGTTCATGGTGTATGAAGCTCCGGGCTGGGCAGATGCCCTCCCACACAGAGCCCCCCAGCCCTGCATGAAAACCCCCCTTCCAGAAGATTCTCTGGGGCAGGTGCTGGAGGTGAGCTCTCCTGGCCCACTCGCTCTCTGGGGCGGGGGGGGGGATTGCTCCTCAGGGCTCAGTCCCCCCTCCCCTCCGGACACTGGAGCTTTCTCAGCCCCCGGTGGGCCCCAGCCTCAGGAACACGGGTCAGGTGAAGGAGGTGGCTGCCCACTGCCCACCCCCCAAAGCTTTTTCCAAGGAAACTGCTCACGTCCCTCCTTCCCCTTCCCCCGCATTTCCTACTCCCGCGCGGTGCATTCTCTGCCATTTCCTCTGCAAATCTGTGGTCAGCGCCCAGCTCATGGCCACTTGGGAAATGAGACCTATTGTCTATTGATATCCATTGTCCAAACAGACCAGCACACAGTGCTCAGCACCCCTGCCCTGCTTGTGGCCACGAGGCCACTGAAGACTGCCTGGCCTGGTGGTGAGAAAAGTATTTTTTTTTTTAGGTAGCAAGGGATAGAATGTTTAAATCTTACTTTTAATTAATTAATTTATTTATTTTGGCACCAAGCTTATGCTAAGCATAAGCTCTAGCACTGAGCTAAACCCCTAAATCCTATTTTAAATGAATAAAGTAATACATATTCTTTATATAAAATTCAAAAAGGCATAGGAGAAAAATAATGAAAGTGGCCCCTAATTCTAAAGTTTTGTCTCCCATCCACATATTCAGCTGGATCATTTATAAAGATAATTTGTGTCTTTGTTCTGCACCCACTCATATTTCCCCTGCCCCCTGCTCCATCATAGGACACACGTGTAATTCATGTAGCATAAAAAAGTCACCATTGTAAACTGTGCAATTCACTGGCTTGTAGTGTAGTCTCTGTGTTGTCCTACGACGATGCTATCAATTCCGGGACATTTCCAACACCCTCAACAGAAACCTCATATTGATTACTAGTCAATGCTAAGTCCTCCTCCCCTTGGTCACCAGCGACCACTAATCCATGTCCTCTGACAAATCTGTGCACTTGTCATTCTGGACAGGTCCTGGACATCACGCATATGGCCCTTTCTGACAGGCTTCTTTCACTTAGCATTGTGTCTTCAAGGTCCATTCGTGTTGTGCCCTGAACTGGTCCATTGGTCAGCCGTGTGAATATACCACATTTTGTTTTTAATGCGTATATGAAGCACATTTGAGTTTTCTCTCCTTGTTACCAGTTTTGAATGATGCTGCTGTGAACGTTAATGTGCAAGTTTTCGTGTGAACATGTTCTCACATCTCTCGGGTCTGTACCGAGGAGTGGAATTTCTGGGTCTTGTGGGGAGTCTATGTTTAGCTTTTTGAGGAGCAGCCAGACTGTTTTCCACAGTGGCTGCACAATTTCACATTCCTACCAGCAAAGAATGGCGATTCCAATTTCTCCACATCCTCACCAAGACTGGTTATTTTCCCTTCTTTTTTTAAATTATAACCATCCTCGTGAGTGCAAAGTGATACCTCATTGTGGTTTTGATTTGCATTTCCCTGTTGACTAATGCTGGGCATGAATGTGCTCTTAAATTGATTTTAAGGGTCATGAAAATTTCATCATAGATTACTATATAATGTATTTTCAACAGGATATTATCAAATATTCAGGTTGTTTCTATTTTTCTAATTCATTTCTTTCTTTTTTTTTTAAGAGATAAGATCTTGCTATGTTGCCCTGGCTGGCCTTGAACTTCTGGGCTCAAGGTGTCCTCCTGCCTCAGCTTCCTAAGCAGGTTTGCACCTGGCACCTGGATTACCTCCCTCTTACGTGTAAGCCTTCTATATTGTCATCATCAGACTCAACGACATCCATTCATTCAATATCGAGCTGAGGTTGATATCCTTGGTGCAACTGTACGGTGCTGAACAAACTAAGGTCTGACCCCTGGCCTCCCAGAGCACACAGTCTGGCAATTTATGAAATAATCGCGCAGATTAAGTCTGTCATCAGAAGCACTGATGCGCAGGATTATGCAGGGAAACCACGGGCTGCCTAAGGGGCACAGGGCAGGGGAATCCCAAATTCAGAGACAGTCCATCAGAGGTACAGGTGGGTCCTGGACTTGTGCCTGGTATAGAAGTGGGTCAGTCTGTGGGACTCAGCCCTCAGCCTGTGGGGTCTCCACAAACAACGGGAGACGGTGTCAGACTTGAGTTGGATGGTTGGACCCCCTGTGGGTGTTGGAGAGCCAGAGATCAGGTACGGGAGCCCATTTCAACCATGGCCTCTCCTATGGGGAAGGATCTTCTACTGGGGGGACACCACGAGTGTGTTGAGAAGTCAGGAGTGAGGGCCAAGACTGTGAGACACACCAGAAAGGCCAAGGGAAACGAGGGACCGCTGGGGCTGCGGAAGCCGGGAGCTCACAGGAAATGGGACAGAGGCCACCGGAGGCAGAAGGTATGGGGAAGCCAGCCCCAGTGGAAGAAGAGGTGGACGGGGTGGGAAGCTCTTTGAGTCAGCTTTTCCACCACTGTGACCCAAAAACCGAACAAGGTTAGGTGTTTTTCTCCTAGAGGAGGAAATTTATTTGGTCCTCACAGTTTCAGGTCTCAGTCCATAGACGGCTAATTCCATTGCTCTGGGCCTGAGGTGAGGCAGAGCGTGATGGTGGAAGGCTGTGGTGGAGGAAGGCAGCTCAGGACATGGTAAGGAAGCAGAGGGAGCTCTGCTCACCAAGGACAAAACATAAACCCCAAAGACACACCCCCAGTGACCCTCTTCCTCCGATCTCACCCTACCACAGTTACCACCCAGTTAATCTGTCCCAGTGGATTAATCCACTGATTGGATTCCAACTCTCACCATGAATCCTTTCACCTCTGAACCTTCTTGCACGGTCTCACGTGAGCATTTGGGGGACACCTCAGGTTTGAACCACAATAGAAGCAGGAGCAGGGGAGCTTCAGAGCAGGATTGGAGGAGACAAATTCTCCTGGATCTTGGATTGGGAACATTTGCACTTGGGAGGGTTTTCCACACTCCACCAGCCCTGGCCGCGGTATTTCCTCCTTGTTGCTGGAAGCAATCTGACGGCATCTCTGCTCCCGCTCCCGGCATGGGGCCTGGCCTGGCTCAGGCACCCCCAGCCCCATTTTGCAGAGAGGGAAGTTGGAACAGAGGGGACGCTCAATGGAAAGACACGGAAAATCCTTGGCCAGAGTAGGCAGCCAGCAACCAAGAACAGGGCTGCTGGGGACCGCCACTCAGATCCGGGGACCGCCATGCCCAGGTCAGACTCTGAACCATTACAGGATCCTGAGAAAGGCCAACACATCTGCAAAAATGAGTGACCGCTGCATCTCTTCTCAGGGTGTGCATTTGGTGAATCTCTGACATGAGAGGCATAAATCGTCATTAAAAAAAATAAAAAAACTGGAAATTTAAGAATCCAGTAGAGGAACAGACGCTGTCCTTTGTTTGAGAAACCCAACATCAACATTTAAAATCATCAATACTGTTTCACTTTTAAACCTGAAATTTAAAAAAAAAAACTTTATAAAATCAGGAGACTTGAAATCAAGGGTTCAGAAGTGCTGACAAATGTTTGCCTTCACACCAAGGGGACACCTGCCACTCGCGGGTCCAAGGAGCCCCAAACTTAAATCCCCAACATTCCAAAAAGCCAAAGGAGCCCCAAGGGCTGAAAGGTCTCCAGATTTTTAGATTCCAAAGATTCTAAAATTTCCAAGATGTCGAGACTTATAAAGATCCTAAGAATTCTAAAGTTTCCCTAGTCTCAAACTCCTGTAAGCCTCGACTTCCTAGATCCTGGAAAGCCCTGACTCTCCGCGGTGCGCCCAGGTGGGACCTGGCAGGAGGACACTTTCCACCTAGGCCCTCCCTACCTGCTGGCCTGGCTCTGGCCCGAGGCGATGTCGCTGAGGGTCAGGGAGGAACAGAGTTTTCTGGGCTCAAAAGGGTCTCCAGGACAAGGAGCCCAAGAGGCCCTGAATGGGGTGTGTTGGACCTTAACTCTTCTCCATGGCCCCGGGGCCCCGCTGTCCCCATCCCATGTCCCACCTGGTCATCTGTTCCCCAGCTCTGCCCTCTAAGAGCTTCTGGTCTAGGTCTACTCAGGGACACACAGCCCAGCAGTCCGAGTCCTGGGAAAGTTCGACAGGACACGTGAGCCCCTGCCCTGCCACCTTCTCCCCACTCCCGGCTGCTCCCAGGTCACATCCCAAGGGCGCCAGCCAGCCTAGCAGGGGGAGGAAGAACCCCGAGGCGCAGTGAGAGGGGCTCCCTTCAGCCTGATCCCACCTTGGCTTCTGCTGTATCGACCTGCGGGTCCGTCTGCCCACCCCAGACCTGATCCCCTACCCCGTGACCCTTGGGGCGTCCCCAGCCCAGCTTCAGTTCTGATCCTCAGGAGGTGGCCACGCCTCACACCTCAGGGAGAGAGGAGACTGAGGCGGCCATCGGGTGGAGGGGGAGAGACTGCAGAGGAGGCTCAGAACAGAGCCCGGCTTAACTCTACCCTCTCACTGCAAACACCTGTTTCCTCCACCCAACGGGGAATTTAATTCCTGTCACACTCGGTGGTGGAATTGGGACCCACTGGGCACCCTCCCCCTCCGCAGTGCCCTCTCCGCAACCCCCCCAAGCAGTGTGAGTGTTCCCCACAGCAGCGGCGCCGAGGAGGGGCGCTGCCGCGGGTGGAGAGCGGGGGGCTGGGCCAGAACGTGAGCGCTGATTGTGGGCCCCAGAAGGGCCCCCCTGCTCCATTCATGAAAGGGTATTTTTAGCTGAGGACTGGCTGCCTGCGGTCTGGGTGGGGGAGGCCAGGCCATGTGTCATGTCTGAGTGATCGTGGACTCACTCTGCCTAGGAAACAAGCCCCCAGGGGCCAGCTGCTGGATCCCAGGGCTGCCGCTGTGGCTGGGAAGAGGAAGATGTGCACAGTCAGGAAGCTTAGACCTTCTTACCCGAGGGGTGCCGCAGCGTGGGGAACGATGGTGATTATTAAAACACATCGAGCATCGACGAGGTGCCAGGCACTGCCCACTGAGTTGGGATATCCACTTAGTCCTTCCTGTGAGATCGATACTCTTATTAGCCCCTCCCAGGCCACAGAGCGCTCTGGGATTGCACAGTTCATCCAGTCTGACCCTTTTTTGGGGGGTGCGAAATTGGAAGCCCAGAGGGGGTTCAAGATAAGGAGTCATTTGGCCCTAATTCCCAAGCCATGATTCTTCCTACTGGATGGTTTTGTGGGACAGATTCATCCTGTGGCCCGCCCACCTCCTCAGCCCAACCCTGGCTCCAGAATTCTGTCTGTCCCTGCTCAGGTTGCTCTAAAGCAAAGAGCCTGGTCTCTGGAAGCAGAGGTAAGCCCTGCTCCTGACTTGCTGTGACTCTGGGCAAGTGACCTCACCTCTCTGATCCTCCGTCTCCTCCTCTGTAGAGCGGCACAAGCCTGTGTTGTGGGTATAAGTTGCCTGGAGCGATTTTTCTCAACTCCGGCTCCTTGAACCACGAATCACTCCCCTGCACCATGAACACTTTACACATGGCCAGGTACTCCTGTCCAGGTCACTGCCAGAGATGGAGAGCTAGTGGTACCACTGCAGGCACTGTGACCAGCGGCTGGGCTGGGGAGAGACCTGGAGCAAATGATGCGTCACCTGCCTCTGTCCAGGCTGCAGACCCCCAGCAGAAGAGCTTGGGGCACAGAGAGAGGGTTGGGGGGAGAGAGAAGAGAAGGGACAAGGGACAAGGGAGACAGGCCTGCCCATCCTGAGCCTGCAGACAGGCGAGCAGAACAGGCGTGGCCAGCTTAGCTAGCTGTCCCCTCATCCCTGGGGTGACCCTCCATCAGTCTCTGCCCCACCCCCATCTTAGGTCCTCACTCTCCCACACAGAGAGGGGACAGTCCCCTTTCCTGTTCTCTCTGCCCTGATTTTCAGCTACTTGATTAGGGCAGTCCCTGCCTCAGGGGCTGGGGACCCTGTGTCTTCCCCACCACCAACACACACGCGCACACACGCACACACACACACGCACACACACACATGCACACACACACACACACTCATGCACACAGCACACTCTGCTCGGGGAAGCTCCACAACCTGGCTCCTGGGCTGGCCCTGGGCTCTCAGTGGTGGCCTCGGCCCCCTGGTCTGCAGATACAGCACCCCCATTTGCAAATTTCCTAAGTGAAGTTCTGACGGGGCCCATATGGCACAAGGCAGCCAGCGGGCCGGGTCCTGTGTCATGTGTCATGGGCCAGGGGTGGAGCAGCTGCTCCAAAAACAGGGTGAGGCTGAGGGGGAAATGAAGAAACCTCTACTTCAGAAACAAAACCAGTCCACCTAGGATGTAAATGAGTTACGTGGAAAAATGGAACTAACTGATTTCATTCCTGTCTATCCTTTGCTCATCCAGGAAACTCTCAGCAAACAGGCATGGCTAAAATTAAAGAGAACCTGACACCACCACCCCGTACACAAACCCAGCTGCAAAAGGCTTTCAAAAGTCCTTGCCCTGACTCATCTGAGACTCTTCCCATTTGTCATCTCTTCTAATGCAGACAAATCTAACACGTGTGGGATACTGGTTTTCCACCCAAAGGAGCCAGGATGTGATGAAATGTAACTGCAGATTCCTTTTAAATAAGAAAGATTTTTAAAAATATAAAAATAACAGCAAAGCTTTGAAAAACAGACACAAGGACTTAGCAGCTTGGGGGACATTCAGTGCCCAGCTGTAGTGACCACACTGTTGAGGAGTCCTCAAAATCAGCAATGCACACAACGTTGGAGCTCACAACAACAACCTGGGGCAACGAAAACCAGTGAAATCTGCTCCCTGAACTTCACTTAGGATGGCAGAAATAGGTGACCCATTGGGAAAGACTTCCATCTTTACAAAGGAAGGGCTTCACGTTTTTAGCAGGACCCGACCTCATCTGGAAAATGCATTCTGTGGAATAATGAGCTATAAATGATGTTTGACTGTGCACCGGTTTACAAGCCGATCCAACAAAAATAATAAATGGCACAATTTTGAGACCAAACTCTGTAACTAGCAGCTAGAATTTCACCAGCGGAGAAATAAGTGCTTTAACAGTGACTTCAGTTGGATCGAGGACCTCGGGACCCTGACAAGAGCTGGAAAGCAGACAGTTTCTCTCCCACCACGTAATTCCACCCTCTCGCCTCAGGCGAGACCCTCACACTCGGTTATGGTGGTGGTGCCGGGGGGAGAATCTGCAAGACCATAAGGTGTTCAAAGTGGACATCTGGAAGGAGGGGACTTCAGAGTCCTGGGCACTGTGGGTCCTAAAAGTTGTCCACATCAAGTCACTTGGAAGTTCATAAAAACTTCAGGAGGTCTGAGAGAAGAACCAGGAGTGTGCATTTTGAACACTTTGCTTCAGTGAATCTGATGCGGGTGGTCCAGGGAAGCCAGATTGAGAACTGCCGCTCCCCCACTCTGCAGGCAGGGAAATCAAGGCCCAGAGAGGAACACAGCGATGCTCCCAGTCACACAGCAGTCAGAAGCCGAGCTGGCCCGTGGCCTGGGCAGAGCTTCTTCCCACTGCATTCCGCCTGCCCACGGACTGCCTCCCGGGGTGGACATTCCAAGGAGTCATGTAACAGGAAAGGAAACATTGGCCGTGCCCATTCCGATGTTGGAGGGAACGTCGTGACTCCAGATTCCTGCAGACACAGCCCTCGGCGTTCAGACAGCCAAGCTCCATGAGCCTGCTTTTTCCAGATGGGACTGGGGATGAGAGTACAAAAGCCAGTATTTATTTTTATTTCCCCAAGAAAATAAATCAGCAGCTTTGCTCCATGAGCAGTGGTCAGAGGAAGCAGTATTCCTAGCCGGCAGGAGGTCCTGGACCCTCTCCAGTCCCTCAAAGCCCCCTCCAGCTGCCTCAACATCCCCCAGGTGTCTGACGTGAAGGTGGCCCCCAGACAGCGCATCCCTCGGGCTTCAGACTCAAGAACGCTCTTCTGCCGACAGCGATGGATGAAGGGCTCAGGAGGAGGAGGGTCCCTTTCTTCCTGGACGAAAAGGCTTTCGCCAGCTTCTCCTATTGCCACCCCCCTCAACTGCTGTATTTGAAATGATGGAATATGATGCTGCCAGGTCCCACCAGCCCCCGGGGATCTGTTTTGCACATCCCAAAGGGGCAGAGCAGCCCCCCCGCCCCCAACAAAACCCTTCAGCCCGAAATGTCAGTGGTTTTGAGATTGAAAAGCCCCGAGCCATGGGCATGTTATCACACATGGTGTGAGTCCAGATTTCGCCTCTGAATGCTGTGTGAGCTTGGGCAAGGTCACAGGCTCTCTGGGTCTGATACTCCCATCTGTACAAGAAAGCAATAAGGAGAGGCTCATCTCTGGGAACCCAGCTGTTTTGGCAGGGGAGTCTTGGAGCCCTGAGACAATGGCCCTGATTTACACCTCTTAAGTGGCGGTCACAGGGAGGGGTCCACCCAGCCCCCCCTTACCTAAGGGATGGACAATCAGCTGTCTTGAGAACCTCCCCCAGAGCCCCATGTCTGGAACTCCTGCTCCACCAGGAACGGAAAACCCATTATCTGCAGATGACTTCACTTTGCAAAAATGCAGACGGGTGGTTGCCAAGCAGAACTCCAGGGAAGGGGCCGGAAAAGGGCTCAGAGCCGCCTGCCCCTGGCCTCACCAGCATCCAGCACCTCCAAAGCAAGGCTCCAGCTGCCCCGGGTACTGCTAGAAGCCCTTCCTGTGGGCAGTCCCCACCCCATGACTCTTCCGGAAACTTCAGAGGGCCTCTGGGCTGCAGGCGCATCTCCCAGAGCCTGAGTTGGGAACTGGACAGAGGAAAGTGGCCACCCTGCCCCGACCACTGGTGCACATGGCAGTCCTTGGGGCCTCTACTTGAAAACAGGCTCTCCTCCCAGAGGGCTGGTCATGTGGCCACCAACCCAATTTCTTTCTTGACCTAGAGTGTGGGAGGGCATCCTGACCCAGGAGAGTGGGGCCAAAGAGCAGCCCAGGGAACGGCTGCATAGATGGACGAGGACCCAGGACTGTGGTCTCCTGGGGTATGAGGGACCATAATGACGGGCTCTGGGAGTAGAGGGGGCTCAGGCCACCCTGGGAGGAGCCCACAAGGAGGCCTGAGTTCTATTCCTAGAAACGAGTCTGGGCCTCAGTTTCTCCTCCGGACAATGAGAGATTTGGTCCAGAGAAACTGGGGGGTCTCTTTCAGATCTAGAATTTGGAGGCTCCAGGAGCTGATAAGAGTAAGTCACAGTCAGAGCCTCAGAGGGGGCCGAGCTTTTTGGTGGGTAACATTTCCTCCCCTGCCATCAAGAACAGGATCAAGTTCAGCCCCACTGAGCTCTAAAAGGAAGGAGGAGGAGGTGGAGCAACAGCATGCTGAGGGAGGGGCTGGCGCACTGCCCCGCCCCTCACAGCTCTAAGCACCGCCTACTGCTGGGGGGCAGTGTGAGCTAATGGCTAGCGCCCTCAGGCTGGCAGCCCCTGGCCAGAATTCAAATCTTGGTCCGTCCACCTGCTTGCTGTGCCAACTTCATTCAGTATTCCCAACTATAAAATGAAGGCAGGAACAAACACTTCTTTGGCGAGTTATTCTAGTGGCCTCCCTTCCCCCTAAAGTAATTGCCAGCTCCCTCCGTTGCCCTGCTCTGCCCTGCCCACCACACCCAGGCAGGAGGAGAAAGAATTTTCCTGCTTCCCCTGCTGGGGCCCTGTTCTGGCTGTGGCCTCATCCCTCTCCAGGGTCCTCCATCCTGCTGGGAGGCCCTGCTCTGCGATGCTGGTACCCACGCCCTCTTCTTGATCTTCAGACCTGAAGGCGGACACCGCTCCTGGGTCTCCGGTGCAGCACCATCCCCTATAGCCACACCCGGCAAAAAGTCCCTTCATCACTTCCCCAAAGATGATTGACAGGTGGCCAACGGGCGTGGGAGAAGGTGCTGAAGATGGTTACTCACTAAAGAGATGCAAACCGAAGCCATCATGAGACAGCCCTTCACACCCCTTAGGTGGCTGCTGTCCAGAGAAAAGACAAGCGCTATGAGGACAGGGGGAGACCAGAACACTGCACGCTGTGGGTGGGAACGGGAAATGTCACAGCCACTAGCAAACAATGTGGTGGGTCCCCAAGAAACTGGAAAGAGGACTAGCTGTGACCCAGCAGTGCCACTTCAAGGTATACCCAGGGGAATTGAAGGCGAGGTCTGCAAGAGATGTCTGCAGCCAATGTCCAAAGCAGCATTGTCCACAGTGGCCAGAGGAGGAAGCAGCCTCGATGTCCACGAGAGACAAGGGTCAAGCAAAGGAATGTGTGTAAAATGGAATATTAGCTTTGAAAGGGAAGGAAACCCTGTCACCCCGTTTAAGGATGGCCCTCGAGGACATCGTGCTAAGTGAAATTAGTCACAAATGCTCTATGATTCCACTCACGCGAGGTATTTAGAGTCATAAAGACAAAGTGGGGGCTGGGAGAGGGAATGTTGGGGAGTCTTCGTGGGTCCTAGTGACTCTCTGTGTCACGGGATGGGAGCGTTCTGGAGACTGGTCACCTAACAATGGGAACACACTTAGAACTCCCGAACTCTATACTTGAAATGGTTAAGGTAGTTTTTTTTTTTTTTTAAAGTATCAAATGGCATATTTTGATTATGTGCAGTTCACTGTGGGTCATTTAAATCTCAGCAAAGCTGCTCATTGGGGTTTTTGAAAGTCCCTTCATTAAATTCTCTTCAGAAAACCGGTGCTTCCCAAACTTGTTTGCATATTCAGACTTTTCTGGGAACCCTTTAAAAATCCCAAAACCCAAGGCACACCCAGAGGAATGAAGCCACAACCCCTTGGGCAGAGCTTGGGCATCTGGAGGTTTTGATGATCCCCAGGGGGCTCAGTGAACACAAGCCTGGCACCATGGAAGTGGGTCCTCCACTGAGCCACAGGCTTCTTGTCACCTGGGGTCACAGGAGTCTGCACAGCTAACTACTTTCTGGGCCTATCGTGAGCATTAAGAAGAATAGAGTTTGCGGAGCACTTAGCTAGTGCTCAATAAAACCTACTGAAGCCATGATTGACATTAGTGCTGCTGTTATTATTTCTCGGGGGGCCCCTGGTTCCTGGGGCCTTGGAGAGGCTGCAGAAGGAGGGCTCAGGACCCAATGCAAGCAGAGGAGAAAGCCTTGACCGGAAGGAAAGTCCAGGCTCGGGCAGAGAAGGCAGAGCTCTGGGTTGGCTGGGGACCTGTGGCGCATGCGGGGCAAGACTGCAACAATGGCAGGGGGCCAGCCGGAGCTGGCACCACTCAGAGACCCCAGAAAACACTGAGCAGCACCAAGGCCAAGAGCAGAGCTGGTCCAGGAAGAAGCATGGTCCAGGACAAGCACACATTAGGGTTTCAGGTGTCTGCCATTGGTGTGGGGGGTGCTTTTCTAAATTTGCAGGAGTCCCCAAGCACCTTGGTAGCCCCAGTGGCCCCTCTCCCAGCCTCTCCTTGGGGAGAGCTCCTGGCTGTCACCTCCGTTTACCTCCACGTGGTCATCCTGGCCACTCACCTGGCTGGGCTTCGGGGGCAGCAGGCCCAGACAGGGAGACTGCATCCCCTCCCTTGGGCACTGTGTGGGGACTGGAGGTTGTTGAAGGGCCATCCTATGGGGACTGCCTGAAGTCGGGGAGCCCTTGTGGCCAGCAAAGGAGGTGAATGAGGAGCAGAGGCCTCTATTCCTCCCCAAACCGTCCATTCCAGGAACATTTCCTAAGCACCTGCTATGGGCCCGGCCTTTCAGAGCTCAAGTCTGGCTGCAGAGGGCAGGTGTGGAGGAGGCAGCCAGAGGCAGGCAGACAGGGCTCTGTGCTAGCCCTTCTCCGCATCAGCTGCAGGTCCTGGGGGAGTCCATCTCCTCTGGAGCCTCAATTTTATCTTTTGCTAAAACAGGCAACAAAAAGGCAGGCAGGGTGGTGTATACCTGTAATCCCAGCGGGCCAGGAGGTGAGGCAGGAGGATCACAAGTTCAAAGCCAGCCTCAGCAACTTAGTGAGGCCCTAAGCAACTCAGCAAGTCCCTGTCTCTAAATGAAAAAAAAAAAAAAGGGGGGGGCTGGGGATGTTGCTCAGTGATTAAGCACCTCTGGGTTCTGGGTCCAATCCCTGGTACCAAATAAATAAATAAAGCCAGGCCCACAGGGTTGTGCCAAAGGAAATGAGAGGACAGGCAGGAAGGACCCCCTTGCTGAGCTCTACTTAAACCTCCTTCCCCAGGAGGGAGAAGCAGGCCCCTCACAGCAGCAAGCAGCTCTCGGGGGACCTAGGAGCCAGGAATCCACAGAGAAGCCTCCTGCCCGGAGGTCTCCATCCTGCTGGCCACTGGCATGTGGGTGACAGTGGACAATCCCTCCTGTCTGGAGGCCAACCTCCCCACTGCCCAGCAGCCCCGCAGCCTGGAGGCCTGGTGAGCCCCTAACACTGCCACTCCAGGGAAGGACCAAGGGCCTGGGGTCGCTCTTTGCAGGTGGAAAAGTAAAGCCCAGGAAGGACACAGGAGACCACAGCCAAGTCAGAGCCAGAAGCCATCTCCTCACCCCAAGCCCCCAGGGCTCTCCTCGTCCTCCAGAGCCTTGGCCTGGGGGTGAACCAAGGTACCAAAGCCCCGTTGGAAGGTGTGGCTTCCTTTTTAAGGAACTCCCCAACAAAGCCCTGGGCTCCACTAGGGCAACAGCCTTCCCCTCCAAATAGCCTCTAGACCAGCCATTCCCCTGCTCAAGCACCTTCCATAGCTCCCCATCCCACACAAACATCTTGCCCAGAGTCCAGGGTCCCGGTTTCCATCTCCAGCCATCTCCCTGGCTCCCACCCTTCTTCCATTCTGGCCACTCTCTATCCCCTTCTCCAGGCCTTTGTGGATTCTGCTTCTTCCTCCTGGAACACTCTGCCCTGTCTCCTTCCTCTAAGGCCATCCAAATGTCACCTGCTCCCGTTAGCCTTCCCCATCCTCGTGTCAGACATGGCCTCTCCCTCCTCTTGGTTGCTGGAGGACACTCTCGGTCACCTTGCACACCCCCTTCCCTGTGTCACCAAATCATCCTCAGCACCCTGAAGGGAGGAAGGGCCAAGTGACCTCGGTGCCCTGTGCCCGCACCACAGGGAACAAACAGGGACTGTTCGATGTCCTCTGGGAGCAGTACTGGGCCAGAGGTGCCTGCGGGCGGGGCCCTGGCTCAGCCCTGCTGTGCCTGAGCGCCTGTTTTTGTTTTCCTTCTCCCTGGGCGCAGGCTGCGGGGGTGTTGGAGCCACAGCTGGTTTTCATTGCATCAAGGCTTAAAAAAGCCCTGAACATATTTTTAGAGAGGAGGAAAAAAAGGATATTTTCTTCCCTGACCCAAGATGGGGCTTGCTCCAGTTTTCCATCTGCTCTGTCCCTCTGGGTGGAGCTGGCGGGGAAGCCTCTCTGCAGGACGGTCCTTCAGGACAGCCAAGAGGAGCTCAGAGCTCTGTGCGGGTCTCCCCTCCCCCGGGTCCTGGATCCAGCAGAGCCCCGCCCACCTGCCCCTCCCCCAGTGCCTGGATCCAGCAGACCCCGCCCACCTGGGACCAGAATAAGGGATGCACTGGAAGCTTGTTTGAGGGCTGGTTTCCAATTGTCTGAAGACGCTGTTGGGGTGAATGAAATACCAGATCATTTCAGGCATCACTGAACTCACAGAGCTTCTGTTGAAATGCATTTTCTCAATCAAAAGATGCTTCATGTATTGGCTCCTTGCTACTGTGTGTGTGTGTGCGTGTGCACACGCGTGTGCACCCATGCTTGTGCATGACCTGTGTGAATATGGTTCATTTGTGTGACATTTGGTGTGTGTGGGTGCGATGTAAAGAGTTCAGGTCACACTTTCCTGCCGGTGTGTGTAGTGTAGTGTTTCTGGGACCCCGTGTGTGTTTGTGGTCTGACCTATCCTGGACCTGTGTGTCAGAGGCGTGCTCTGTATACAGTCGGGCGCATGCGTGCTGTGCATGTTTGGTAGGTGCCTTGAGTGCTCGAGGCGTGTCGGGGGTTCAGTGCATGCAGTGTGGGTGCCACTGGTGGGGCTGTTCTTGGTACTGGCCAGAGCACATCTGGAACTGGGGAGAGGTCCCGGCTTCCCTCGAGACCTGCCCCCAGCAGCCCCTGCCCTGCCATCAGACTGGTCTTTGCCCGCTGTCCTAAAACCCCCCAACTAAGCAGCCAAGGGCAAGGAGGCTGAAGTGCAGAGAAGCCAGCGTCCCCTCCAGGACAGGCCTAGGAGCCCAGCAGCCTCCCCTCCTCCCGTGCTGGGGAAGGAAGAGAGTGGCAAGGTTCAGCACCAGGGCACTCAGGGCCCTGGCTCTCCAAAAACCTGCCCTATTCCGTCTTGCACTCACCCATCAAAGGGGGCATGAAACCATTGCCATGTTTTATGGAAGGAAAAAATAGGCTTGAAGAGGAAACAGAGGAGAAGGCAGGCCCTTGGCAGCCCTCAGAGCTGAGAGGGTAGCCCAGATCCATGAGGGCAGCTTCTTGATTAGGGGTTCAAGCAGGGAAGTTGTGGGGGTCTGGCTCCACTAAGGGGTGCTGCCTCCTCTTTCCTGTCTGTAGAGACACAGGCCCTGCTCAGAATCAGAGCCAGGAGGAGGGAGGTAGAAGGTGGAGTGAGCACACCAGGGAAGTGGGCCTTCAGCTTTCCTAGGCTGACTGGCCAGGTCAGCTACTCTCTTGCCCAACTGCCTCCTTCTATCCCCGGGGGCAGGAAGGGCCACTAGGGGCTCACTCCCAACGTCTTAGAAACTGAGGCAGCCCAGCTGGAGTCCAGGGGAACTTCCTGGGAGTTGAATTTTTTGGGTAAAAAGGAAAAACCTGGATTCAAGACCTCCTCAGCCCCGGGGCCCTGGGCACACCCTCCCCCTTCCCTGTGCCTCAGGTCCCTCCTTTGTGACATGAGGATTGCACCTCTCTTCTCAGGGGGAGGAGGGCCATGTGGGAGGGCGGGAAGTTTGGGCACAGGCCCGGCACAGGGAGCACTCATCGACGTGTGTCCTGTTCCCATCACGAGGGAGAAACTGGGCTTAACTGGTCCAAAGGTCCTTCTCTTCCTGGCCCCAGAAGGAACTGCAGGGGAGAAAGAAACAACAGTTCTTAGAAAGTCCCCGTGGAGTCCTTCCAGGAGAGGACCATGGGTCACCCCGGGGCACCTGCACCACGCTGGGCCTCGAGTGCCCCCCACCAGAGCCTCGTCCCAAGCGCCAAGGTCCTGCTCCCCACTCCACGCCTGCCCTGCACCCGGGCCGGGGACTCGCCACACACCTCCAGGCCCTCACAGGGTCCCTGGCTTGGAATGCCATCGCCCTCCTCTGGCAGCCACCTCTGGCTCACACCTCAAGGGCACCTTGGTCTTCAGCTCCCCAGGAAGCCTTCCAATTGCCCCAACTCCGGGCCAGGGGAGGTGCCTCCTTCCCCAAACCCTCTTGCACTGCCGTCCCCCTGCCCCGGCCTGGCAGGCCCTCTTCCCCCAGCTCCTGTGGATGTGGGTGTCCACTCGGTGGCCCACCTTGCCCTCAGCACCGACAGTGGCCTGCTGGGATCCGCTCTGGAAATCCCAGGCCCCACCTTACCCCCCGGGCCTTGGAGTTCAGGGCCCCGTTGGATGGCAGAGCTGGCACGACAGCCTGACGTGCAGGGTCTGACATGGCCACTCTCAGGAACTGCTTAAACACAATCTCTCAGCAGCTGGGGCGAGGGGACCTGACCTCTGGGAGTGTTCTAGAAACTTCTCTCTCTCCCCTTTCAGAGCCCGTCACCAGTCTCATGTTAAAATGCCAATGCTGTTCAGAATTCTAGCCAGCGGAATCCTCGGAGGCCCCAGGATTTACTCTCTGCCAATGTACAAAAGTTGCTGCTGCCAGTTATTTTAACTGTTCATAGTTATGGGCTGAAAAGTGACCCCCAAATTCACAAGTTGAAATCTTCACCCCAGTTCCTGAGGTTGCAGCCCTAATTGGAGAGGGGGTCTTTTTTGTTTTTGTTTGGTAGTGGGGATTAAACTCAGGGGCACTTGACCACTGAGCCACATCCCCAGCCCTATCTTGTATTTTACTTAGAGACAGGGTCTCACTGAGTGGCTTAGCTTCTCACTTTTGCTGAGGCTGGCTTTGAATTCGCGATCCTCCTGTCTCAGCCTCCCTAGCCACTGAGATTGCAGACAAATTCTCTCAGGGCTATATGTAGCTGAAGGTCAGCAGCACAGGCCAGGCAGGAGGGTGCCCCACAGCTGGGGAGAGATGCCTGGCAGAGATGGGATCTTTGAGGAGGGAGTTGGATTAACTGAGGTCATGAGAGTGGGAATAGCCATCTTCCCAATTCCATCAGACTGGTGTCCTTCTAAGACAAAGGAATCAGAGGCAGACAGGCACAGAGCAAAGACCCTGGAAGACCAAGGGAGAAGATGGCCATTGCAAGACCCTGAGAGAGGCCTCAGGAGGACCAGCCAACCAGCTGACCCCTTGGCCTCCAACTAGTAGCCTCTAAGATGTGAGAACAGACCTGTTTTCTGAGCAGCCCCGGCTGTAGGATGTGGTGATGGCGGCCAAGCTGACCACTACAGATGTCCATGTGCCTCTGTCTCTCACTGTGCTGTGGTCACCTGTTTGAGAGCCCATCTCCCCTTGCAGACCGTGAGTTCCCTGAAGGCACCTTGCAGACCTGACCCAGGCATCCCTCGGAGCCCGGAACCCACCACACCCCCAGAGGGTCAGAGGGCATTTCCCCGGGTGAACCCACCCGAGGATGAGCAGAACTTCATTTTGTGAGCTCTTTAAATCCTCAAATGCTGGAAACAGGAGACCCAACAGCACAGGTCTCTCCTCCCTCACCGCCCCTCCCCAGCTGTGGGCGCCCTCCCGCCTGGCCTGTGCTGCTGACCTTCAGCTACATATAGCCCTGAGAGAAAGCTCCCCCCATTTTACAAGGGAGTAAACTGAGGCCCAGGGAAGACTGCTGTTCTGCCCAGGAGCATGCATGAGCCCTCAGGGAGACACAGAAGCCCCCAGGTCCCAGGGAGGCCTGAGAGGGGTCTCCTGGGGCCAGAGGGCTCCTTGGGGAGATCCCAGGCCCAGGATTGAACCTGACTCCTCTTGCCCGCTCTGGGTGAGCCCGTTCCTGGCCTCTCTCCCTGGGGCCTCAGTTCCCGTCCGCACAATAAGTTCAACCAACACGCGAGGCTGCGAGGGCTTAGCACAGTCTGACCCCCAGAGAAGCCCAGCAGTACCACTGCGGCCACTGCTCCTTGTCCCTGGGCCCCGCGGATGGCCCACACCTGCTCCCACGGGAAGCCTGACAAGCTCAGGATGGAGGCTTTTCCTGAAGCCAGCGGGGGGGTGGGCAGCCTCCGTCCACCACCCAGCGCTGCCCCCCACCCCCCCATTTGCCTTCCTCCTGGGCCTTGCGGGCCGCAGGGCTGGATGGGCTCAAAGGCTCTTTGTTCTCCCCCAGGCCCAGACCAGGCCAGGCCTGCCGGGAACCAGCAACTAAAAATAGCCCTCGGAGTGTTTGGGTCCAGCTGCTATCTCCCGCAGGGGTCAAGAGGTGCCTGTGCTCTTCCTGGCCACCACTCTGGGCGAAGTCCAGTTTGGCCAGTTCCCAGATCACCCTGACCAGAGGGCCCAAGCTCACACCCACAAAATATCTAGTGGGAAATTCAAGGCCAGTTCTGGTCCGGAGGGGCAGAGCTTTTGTCTGTGGCGCAGAGTTTCCGAGTCGCAGGGTTCAGAGGTCAGAGGTGGGCTCAGCCTGCAGTGAATTGGGAGAGAGGCCAGGAGGAACAGGAGGATCCACCAGGCAACGAGATCCGGGAAGGCCCCTAAAGGGGCAGAGATGGGGAGTCCACTTGGTAGAGCCGAAGGGGGGTCTTCCAAGGGGAAGCTCTGGCTCTGTCGGGATGGGCCCTAGGTGCCAGGCAGAGCTTCCTGACCTTCTCAGGGCCTGGGGGACACCTTCACTCCCTGGGCTTCCCCCAGCACGGCTCCGTAGGACCATCCCCAAGCCCCCAGGGAGGAGCTGAAGGATGGAGAGTGGGGTCCCCGGCCTACCCTCCAGGCCTCGGGAGGGGGCTGCTCACCTAAGACGTCAGGTCCACCTGCACATTGTGAGTGCCAAGGTCAGCAACATGAGTGTGTGGTGTGACACTGCACATCATCGCCGAAGGGAGTTCACTCCAGATGGAAGGCTGGTTTGATGTGTAAAAGTCAATCAACGTACTCTCTTAGTGACAAGTTAGATAAGAAGAATTAGGCTATTCCATCAATTGACATAAAAAAACATTTAGCAAAGTTCAATGTCCTTCATGGATGGTAAAAACTCTCAGAAAATTAGGGTAACATCATTCATAAATAAACTTCCTATATAAAAAAATAACTTTATTAAAAAATATTTTTAATTGTAGATGGACATGAGACCTCTATTTGATTTACTTATTTTTACATGGTGCTGAGGAT